CAGGTACCTGACAGGTTACAAATATGGTATTTTATTTTTTCTGGGTCAAAAAGATTTTTTTGATTTCCATTTATAGTAATCTACCGAATTATTGGATCCAAGTTAGTTTATTTCTTTTTTCAGAAGTGATTTTCATCTCATAATTCTGCCCATCACTATAAATTTGGCTAGAATTAATCGTATAATCAATACTAAAATCTTTAATAGTTTTAATTTATATTGTAAATTCAAAGTATTTTTTAAAATAAGGTTTAATGTAAAAAATAACTTGAAACTCAACTTTTAAGTATAAAAAAATTATAAATGAAAGAATTAATACTAATAAATTATTATAAAATTTTTAAATTCAAATGAGCAATATAAAAATCAATTTAAATAATTTTAAAATTTACAATTTGATTAAATGATTAGTATAACAAAATACACTACCAGAATATTATTATTTATATACCTAATTTAACTATATTGGTTTAAATTTATTGATGCCACTATCATTAATATTATTCTTTTAATTTTAAACCAATATCACAAAACCCTTTCTTATATGTGGATTATGGCTGGAAATCTCTGATCATTTAGAAAAAAAATTTTAAATTATGAAATCTTTGCAAAACCATTAAAAGAACTAATGAACAAAAATTTACATATAGGGAATATTTTTTTTTTTAAAAAAAAGCAACTTCAGTAAATTTAACTTTATTGATAGCTCATTATATGTATATTTTTTTTATAGAAATGTCTGTTGATTTGCTAAAAATCATAAATAAACTATTTATTTTTATTTTGAATTTGGGCAGAAAATCTAAAACAATTATGAGCAGATGTGTGAATATGACAAAGACTCATTTTATGTCAATCCCATTGTCATAACTCTTATAAATTCAACTAATAATGATATATAAAGCAAAACTTCAATAAAAATAATAGTATATAAAAAATAAATAATATAAATTTTATAGTTTGATTTTTAAGCTTATTGTAAAATGTATTCTGCAGTACCGTATAGCGCTGCATACAGTACTCCCCTCAAATAGTACCCCCCCTAAATAGTACCCATGTATTATTCAAGTTTACATTCGGGTATTTCTGAATAGTACCCCGGTACTAATCAAAATCCGATTTTGAATAGTACCCGGTACTAATCAAATACCGGTATATAATTACTAATAAAAATTCTTCATACTAACTAGGAAAAGGAAACCGATCGCACATCATCACGTGCCAGATGTATAACAAACATTTGTGAAACCGATACGAATAGTATATAGTCCTTCGTTACACTTCGGACTAATAAAAAATGTTTACAAGCAAATTTTTATTCCATGTGTTTTAACCTTGATTTATAAATATACTGTATAGTTCAATGTATACAGTATATGTACACTTTCATATAATTAATTGTAATAAAAAAACAATTGCCGTAAAATGAAATTTTATTAACAAACCATCAATTAGCAATGGTTACACAATCAAAGCCACCCATTTTACTCATCCCATACATTAACGTAATTTGTTCCTTGTTCATCATAATAACCCGAATAGCCATCATCCTCCACCTCCTCATATTCACTCTCATCAGATTTATCCTCTTCATTTCCATGTTCCTCATCACTTTCATCATTTTCAGATTCCTCATCACTTTCATTATTTCCAAATTCTTCATCACTTCCGTCGGTTCCATGTTCCTCTTCACTTGTATCAGTTTCGTATCCCTCATCACTTGTATTTTCGTCCTCTTTATCTGATTGTGGTGCTACTTCATCATTAGGTTTGCTTGCTTGTTGTTCAAGACGATCATAATTAAAAATCCAGCCATCTTCAGTTCCATCACGATTGTTAGAAATGCCACAGCATTTAAAGGATCGCCGAATCAAATTAACATCAACAGCTTCCCACGAATCTTTGACCCAATGTGCTACAGTTTCATAAGTGGGTCTTTTGATGATGCCAGTTGGTGTTAAATCTTTTATAGTTTCTGCTATCCACTCATTGTATTTTCTTCGCATCTATAAGGTGAAAATAAAAATAAAATGTTTTTTAAAAAAAATAGAGTCGCCCTAGAAAATGGAGAGAAAATTAATAATTATTACCTTTGATTTAAATGATTTATTTACTGAAACATCCAAAGGTTGTAGGCGAGATGTCAACCCTCCAGGAATAACTGCAATATCAGTTTTTTTTTCGATGAAACGCCTTTTAACAGAATCCACGATGTGAGCAGAAAATGAATCTAAAACTAATAATGATTGTGGATTGGAAAGCCTTTCTCGTTTAACCCATACATTTTCAATCCAAAAGAGCATCTCATTCTCATTCATCCATCCTTTTTGGTTTGTTCGAATAATAACTCCTGGGGGAAAATTTCCTCGTGGAATATTTTTGAGTTTGAAAATTATGAGTGGGGGAAGTTTTGTTCCATCTGCCATACAGGTTAATACAACTGTAAAATTTGTTCTTTCATGACCTGTAGTGCGGATGCTAACTGATCGTGCATCCAGTTCATCAACAGTTGTATTGGTGGGCAGATCAAATGATACTGGCGTTTCATCCATGTTTCCTATATATGCTAAGGGATAATCATGTTGTATGCGGCTGTACTTTACGAATGCCAAAAATGATTGCTGTTTTTCGATTAAATCTTCAGGTAAACGTTGTGCAATTGTAGTGCGATGACGATTACTCAATTTATTTCTGCTCATGAAACCATTTAACCACTTATTACTAAACCTAAAAGACCTGATACCAGAACACATAACTTGCCATTGACGTTGTTGTGCAAGGGTCTGGGCTTTTATTTGAATCATACTTTGTGTGACAGCATTTTGATTTTTTCTTTTTTCTTTAACCCAGGTAACTAGAGCAGTTTCTAAAGCTGGATATTTTGGTTTTACTCCTATATTTAAACTTTTTACACCCTGCTGTACCTTTAATAACTGTTGTTTTTTAGATATCCAGTCACTAAGTTGCTTTGCTTGAATGTTGAACTTGTCTGCTGTCTTTCTTTTACTATGGCCGTTCTCATGATACATAATAATTGCAATTTTTTCACGCGCGTTCCATTGTCTTCGCTTTTTTTCTGTCATTGTTGAGCGGTTAATTCTTTTGTTTGCGCGGGGACCCATTTTATATGAAATAAAAGTTGCAGAATAAAAACGCGAAAAACGTGATTGAATTTCATGATTTATTCTGATCTGAATTACGATCATCATTACAATAATTTCCGAATTTACAAAATTTTTACATTTTACATCTGAAGTTTTTTATTTTATTTTAAATTTTGCGGTTGAAAATTGTTAGAGTTCTTTTGATTACTTAACTGTTAATAATATTATCACATGATTAGTACCCCTTTACAATGTACCCCTTTTTATAGTACCCTCCTCCTCACATAATACCCCCCCGGGTACTATTTAATCTAGGCTGGTGTTTTTGAATAGTACCCCGGGTACTATATGCAGCGCTATACAGTAATCTTTTTCAATTAAACGATCTTTTCAAAAATTTATTTATAATTAATCAAATATAGATTCCTTATATATCATTAATTTTAACAAAATTTAAAGTAATGGGCCAAATTATGAGATGAAAATCACTTCTGAAAAAAGAAATAAACTAACTTGGATCCAATAATTCGGTAGATTACTATAAATGGAAATCAAAAAAATCTTTTTGACCCAGAAAAAATAAAATACCATATTTGTAACCTGTCAGGTACCTGCTGCAAGTTCAGCAGGTACCTGCCGCTAATTCAGCAGGTACCTGCCGCAAATCTAGCAGGTATCTGCCGTGAATCCAGCAGATACCTGCCGCAAATTCAGCAGGTACCTGCTGCAAATCTAGCAGGTACCTGCCGCGAAAGCAACAGGTACCTGCTGCAATAGCGGCGGACTTTTGACTTGAACGGCTTGCCATAAAGCAACGGCTACTGCTAGTTCGTTATTAAAAAAAAATTTAATTCTATATAAATAAACTATAAAATTTTAAGTAATAATATAAAAGGAAAAATTTTTTTTATATATTGTCACAGTATCACATGTGCAATCGAATCTAGTTGAATTTGGTCAAAAATCTATTACAAATTTTAATTAGAATATTCCCTTGTTAACTTGAAAAATTTTTCATTCTATTATTTTTGTACTAACTAACAAACTCGAAAATAAAGTTTATTATTATTCACCCAAATGCATTAGGTCTGGTGGCAAAGGATTATATCCTTGTGGGAAATTTTGTGGGACCAAGTGTTGCACCACTAAAAAAAAAGTTATTTAGAGATTGGCCTTCAGCCAACAATTTTTATTTATACTTTACCGTAAATTGATTTACGACTCTTTTTTACTTTTTCTTTCAAAATATATTAAAAAGAAAAATTATTACAGTTTTTCACTAGATTGAGTAATAATTATATTGAAATTTTAAATGATGATGAATATTATGATATAACGATTGAGATCCAGATGTAAAAATATTCCATGCGCACATGATTATCCTGTGTTACCGCTCTCCATTTTTACGATGAACTTTAACGTTAATTTCAAATAAAAAGAATAACAATGGTATTTTGGCTCATATTAAATTATCAGATATCTCACCAGAAATCTTTCAAATTATTTTAAAGTCAAATTTGTACTAACTTTTATTAATAATTAAATATTAAATATTTTATATTTAATAAAATTTTTATAATACTAGATATATTTATGGTGGCATAATTTTTTTTAATGAGCAAAAAACTTTAGAAATTTACAAAGTATTAGTTGCTGCTAATCAACTTCACCTAGTTGACTATTTACAGAAATATTTAATTGAAAATAAAGTTGAATTAAAAAAACAAAATTTTGGATTTGTTTATCAGCGGAAAAATGTAGAGGAGAATGAAAGGGTAAAGTCATTGAGTAATCTCGTGAAGGAATAGATAGGTGGATAGACGATAACTTCATGTATTACGGGTAGACCGAACTTTTGTATTTATTCCTTGCGTGTATCAAATAAAAAATTTTTAGTAGATGAGGAAATACCTCATGGTGTCTTGACATGAGATTACATGAAGATAAGTGTTCAGGTGGATGTGTGACCTGCTGAATACTCACGTAATTTTTGATCGTGAACGGTTGTACCTATGATGTGATAATGGCTGAGAAATAAATCTTTGATCATAGGGCGGAGTCGACTTTTCACATACTCGAAGTCAGTGAAAAAATATATATTTAGTATAGTAGCTTTATTTAGCATAGAATTTATTTTGCATGTATTAATAAACAATTTTTATTGCAAATTTTGCTAACGGGCCATTACAAACGGAATAATGTAATTTATTTACAACATCAATAAAGAATTCAGTTGAAAGGCTATACATTGCATCAAGCGTGGGATATACTGTATATGTAGAGATGTATGGTGAATAAAAAAAGTGAGACCTAAAGTCCCACTTGATAAAATAAATCACGTCCTATATGAAAGTTGTAATCTAATATGCTTGATAAATAAATGTGCGGTAACGTCAGTATCGCGGGAGCAAATTGTATTTAATTTATTCTCAAACTTTTCCATATATATTCAAAGTTTTACGTGTATTAATAACAATAAAAAGACCCCTTGTTGAATTTATAACGTCAAAGTTCTTATTTTGAGCTTTTTGAGCGAATCTGTTGATCAGATTTTCGTGATGAGATCAAGTTAACATATAAAAAGGTGAGACCCTAGTTAGTGATTCCTTTTATCCGCCTTCAAGTAATCAAAATCAAGCGAATTATTTAACTTACCTTGAATCATGAACTCAAACTGCTAAATGAGAATAATCTGAAAATAAAATTATTATACCCACTAGCCACTTCGAATTCTTACATATTCTTACATATATGCTTACAAATCTTCCAGTTTCATAGATGTTCATGAAATACTTCGGACATACTACTATTCTTATATTATATTGACATTTTGATATTTGCTGAGAAAATCGTAATAATCATAGCCATGTATTTAATCGGCGGAGGGTATAATGTAGATAGTTGAAAATTTTGTAAATACGAATGGGTGCGTAGTTAGCAACATTAGCAATATTAGCAATAGAAAAAAATTAGAGAGCAAAGAAATAGTATGATGCAGGGCCTCGCATCATATGACCTAGGTTTCGCGTACTCTCTCCCTTGAAAGCATGTCATATATTTGTTTAGTTATATTGTACTCTATTATATATATATATAGAGAGAGAGAGAAAGCGATTAATTGAACTTGGTACATTGGCACAAAACAAAGAAATTGAAGAAATGATGAATTCAGAATTTAAACATTAACTCTGATCCTTTCCTTTATTAATTATATGATTTGATTTATACAGTGCAAGTATGAAACTTATTTTGAAAAAATAAAGCATCATCTATATCAGAGTATCCTGCAAAGTTTTAAAATTATATTACATGAAATTACTAATCTACAATTAAAAAGCTAGCTACTAATTTGCTCCGTTCATATTATAATTCCTAATAATATTTTTTTACAACTTCGATCTTTGTTTTTGCTTCTGGTGGAATTCTTTTAACCCTATTATATAGATCATTTTCATCTTCAAATGCTCTTTCTTTTCTTTTAAGTGTTATTTCAAATGCAATTGCTTTTCCTATTCCTCTGATAGTTCTTAACTCATATTCCTTCGCAGTATTTGCATCCAATTTATCGTTGGCTGTGAAACAAGTAAAAAATAACTGAATATTTATTATTATAAAAAATAAATTATGCAAATAATAAATTTTATATATATTAGCTAATATTTTAGGGGGTGAAAATGTAAAAATTATGTAATGGTAAATGTGAGAATAAGTGAGATATCTTATAACATAAAGTTATCAACTCATACCTGTAGAGAATTCAGCATGGGATGAAAAATATAACCATAGAAGGCCTTAAAATTTCCACAATCTACCACGAAACAGTTTTCTGGTAAAGATTCAAAACAATCATTTGTACAAGATCCATTGGTGCATATAAAGAGAATCTAACGCTTAATGGGACATTTGCTTCCAAATGAATCCTCGAATTGTTTATATCCAATTTCAGCTTTTTCATGCTCAGCCTTAATCATACTTTTAGACAAAGTCTGAGGTTGTTCCGTTCACTGGTCGAAGTGGGATGATTTGCATGAAGTTTATTGCCCATAAATAGCTTATAAATTTGGTGATCTCAATTATGATTAGGAAATCTCCATCAAATTTAATTTATAGATTGAAACAGTAAAATTTATTGTAAATTTTATGATTTTAAAATTAATTCGCTAATTTATAATGTATAAATTCTGAATAAATTTTAATTAAATTTAATATCAATGTATATTACACATATTATAGCTTGAAATTTACTTGAAATATGATATTTAATTTGCGACAAGCCATCTACTTAAATTTTGCTATTACTTAAACAAAGTTTTATATCATTGCAAAATAACAAAAATAGCAGAGATAAATCATAAACTTCGTAGCCACGCTCAATTAAGGCAATGTATTACTGGACCTACACTAAAGATGACTTTAGCAAGGCTTTCTTTATGAATTAAAAGAAATTTCATACACTTTGCCAGCTGGTGAGAAAGCTTATGAACTCTGATAATTTCAAGTCAATTATACTAAAAAACCCAGAATATAAATTTTTCTAGGATTTTTTTTTATATTAGATTGGTATAGTATAATGAATAGATATAAAAATTTTTTTGGAATTTTTTTAATAATAGATTGGTATAAATATATTTTGAGATTTTTTTTAACAATAGAGTCAATAGAATAATGGATAGATATAAAAAGTTTGCTGGAATTTTTTAATACAATAAGTTGTTTTGCAAGAAATAATAACTAATTTGTCTGTTTATTATTTTGAAGAGTATAAAAGAAAAAATGCAAAGAAATTAAAAAAAAATTGATTAAAAATAGTTAAAATAGTTTAACGGCTTTAACGCGTCCATCGCATCCTACATAAAATTAATGTCACGTGTATCACGTGATATAATGAAACTGATAGGCGCAGTTCAATGATAATCTTTAAAAAAAAGTTTACATTCTTGTCCTTCTTTCCCATAATTCCTTTCCCTCTTTCTCTTTCATTAATTTCTTTTTCACAACAGTAACATCAACAAGCTATTGATATAAACAACTGACAAAAAATTAAAGGAATGAACAATGTTCCCAATGGTTTGAAGTTGAGGTTCAATTGAGAACGAACTGAACATTTCCACAAGTTATTGCTCTCTTAGGTGATTTCTGATTTCTTTTTTATTTTTATCGATTATTAGATTTTTTTTTTGTTTTATTAACTAATAAATTTTCTTTTTTTCTTTTTATTTTTCATAAAAATTTTTCCAAGCCTATGATAGCTGGACTTTGGAAATTAGTTTATAAACCATTGATTAGGCTACTGAAGAAAACAAAAGTAAAAATTATACTTTACAAAAAACAAGAATCGGAAAACTAAAATAAACAGTAAGTTATTAATTTTGTTTTAATAGTTTATTATTAAGTGTTAGTAATGAATTTTCTTTTTTATTTCCTTCTTTTTTTGGTAGGTAATATTCTCTGGAGGAACTTTTGGATGGTAAGTAAATTTTTTGGGGAAGAGTTTCGCCATTATCTATGAGAAACGTATTAAATTTTCCTTTTTTTATTTTTTGTAGGTAATAACTTTCTCTGTGGAAGACTTTTGGATGGTGTGTTATTTCTTTTGAGAGGATTTCGTCATTTATCTATAAGAAATGTCTGACACTTCTTTTTTTAATCTTTATAGGTTCTGTATTTCCAGACTCCAGTAAGCTATTTGAGTTCGGAATTGACTTTAAGAAACCTACTTTAAAAGAATTTTATTAATGAAACTTTTCTTTTTTTTATTTTTTAGCCTTAGGTTAATGTATTCTTTTAGATGACTGATATGGTACTTCGGATCTTTGAAGCAGAATTTTGACAAGGGAAGACAAAGAAGTTTTTCACTTATTTTTAATGCTAGATTTTTTTGATACATGGACTTCTGGTAATTCTTTTTTAAAGTTCTTTTTTTTTAATTTAACGAAAGAAAAAGTGACTTTTAAATTATTCTAACAAAATTTTTTAAACTTTTTATTTTAACATAACATTAACTTAATGACTTCATTTTTCTTTATTATTTAGATTTATCTTCAGCTTGCTCTTTGGATGCTGGTTTTGGTAAGATATTTTTTACTTTAATGTTAACAAACAATTACTAACTTTTTTTTCTTTTATACTGTAGACAATTTGCTCTTTGGCTTCCAGGAATATCTTTGAACACAAATTTCGTAAGTTCAATTTTTTCTTTAATTTTTTCTTTTAACAACCGAATGATCACTAATATTCATCATCTTTCTTTTTTCAGATGGTTGGTTCTTTGACTTTTTAAATGCATGAAAAACTTTTTTAGATTTTGTTTCTAATTATGCATTTCAATGAAATGTTTTTACTAATGTTTAATTTTCTCTTTTTTTAGATGGTCTAGAATGTTTAGGAATCTTGTAAAAAAAAGGGGTTTAAGGTTAGAGATCATAGGCTTTCTCACCAGCTGGCAAAGTGTATGAAATTTCTTTAATTCACAAAGAAAGCCTTACTAAAGTCATCTTTAGTGTAGGTCTAGTAATACATTGCCTTAATTGAGCGTGGCTACGAAGTTTATGATTCTTTAATAGGACTTTTGTCAAGTATCTTATTATACAACATTTTGTTTTATTAATTTTACAATGCATTTAAAGTGTTAGCGAAGTTTCTTTATAATATACATAAAATTTATATAGAATTTATAATAATTTATTGTATTTATTGTTAATATTTTAGCTATATATTTGCAAATATGAGCAGAATTTCTTTAACATTTCTTTATAATGCAAACAATTTCATTTTAATATGTTGTAAATTTAAATGATGTATAAATATGTTTTATTGCAATTTAAAATACATTTATATAATGGAAACTTGCAAATTTCAAAAGATATATACACTTCATGGTAATTGGACAAGTTTACAACTAATTTCTGTGACATACATTTTAATCGGATTCAATTGAAATTACTAGTAAATCAATATGAAATGTGACGTGTGCGTAAAATTTCTCTGATGTAAATATATTGCACATCACCCCACTTTGACCAGTGGTTGTAGCATCCAAAGATTTATACTGAATGAAAACAAGGAGATCATCTAGGAAAAAAAAGTGATCAGCACATGGGGCTCCTTTGCCATTCTTATACATGATGCCAGGTGATAAGTTCTCTATTTGCACATTGTCAGGGAATTGAGATTTAAGTATGATATAATATAAGTCTACAGTAGGTAGCTGAATCTCATAATTTAAATGAGGGCAATCAACAGCATGATATGCACCTTTTAAGAGAACTTGTATTTCTATTTTTTTCATATAACAATTTGAGAAGTTGAAGACGTAGAATCCAAAATCGCCACATTAAAGTCTTCAAATGCCTGCCACAAGATATGGGATTCTTGGTCAATCATCACATCCCAAAATTTACCTGCTCTGAATTCCTTGAGCGAAGTTAATATCCATACCCACATATATGGCATGCGGACATAGAACAATGTGTCATCAGGTACTGCCTACAAACTTATGATACCTTTTGATGGAAGATCAACATAATTCACAGGATTATCCTTATTCACAGGAATGTTAAGAATAGCACGCACAACTACTTGTTCCATAATTTTTGCATAACCTCTAAATGGATATTTTTCCTCAAGTTCAAATTTGACTAGATTCATTAAAAATACATAATTTACTGTATGTGTATATTTTTTGATTAAGTTTAATAATAAATTATAGAAATATTCCAAAGCCTTGACATGACCGCTGAGATCACTAATACAGCATTGAACAATTCTGCTATTTTTATTAATGTAATTCTTCAGTTCTTCATGAGTATTTATTGAATATACACTAATTGCATTCACTTCTTCATTTGAAAGAAGGTGAAGTGGCAAGCGTAGAAGTTTATATGTCGATTCTTGAATAAGTTTCTCAAGAGGACCTTGAATGGTTCCAGCCAAGATTGGTACATAGAGCATCTTTTTTGTAATACAACTTAAGCTTCCAACAGCATGTATGATGTCACGAACTGGTCTTTGATCACCCTTTGCTAGATTGTGCAGGACATTTAGCTCATCAATGCCAATGACAAAAAAATCTATATTTCCACCAACATCCTTAAGAACAACACCACACGCAGTTTCAATTTCAAAAGTTTTCCAATCTTTACCATTTTTACCACACATTCCCATAAATTGTTTAAAATCTAATGTTTTGCTACCAGAGATAAAATAATCATAAAGAATTCACAGTGCAACTGATGCTGGACCAGCAGATGCATCTTCATCTGATGCAGAAGTAACTGTATTAAATGTAATATTTATAACTAACATTTTTAAATTATCAATTTGACTTAGATGTTCATTGCGATATTGTTCTAGGAGAGTCAGAAGTTCTTGGAGAAACCGACTTTTCCCTGTGCCTGGCCCATTAGCCAGGATGGGAATATGATGGAGTTCATTGTCATATCTTATTGCATCATTATAAACAAGTCTTTGACGAATCTTATTTCGCGTTAGGTTTAATATTTGAAAAGTTTCGTCTCGCCCTTGTAAAGGAAATTCAGCGCCAAAGGAACTTACAAACTAACATGAAGTTAGTACGTGGCCAGAAAACTAAAGGAAATAGGTATGAAACAAAAAATACCTTGGGCTTCCGATTCTCATTGGGTTGTTTTAACTCTTTTATCCAGTTGTAAACTGAATCAATATTACTCCAATCAACCGTGTCTACATGTATTAGTAGTGGTGGGTTACCATCGGGAATGATGGTGATGATGGAATTTACAGGTATATAATCTTCATCACCATCTAATTTATCTAATTCATCTCGAAAATATGTACTAAATCGTTGATCTAGTTCCATATCTTTTCCTTGAAGTTTTTGTACGTCTTCTTTGGTAGAAATATTTTGCTCTTTAATATCTTTAATCGTAACACCACTAACTTTCCAAAGTTTCAAATTGCTTTTGTCGGAATCACCAACCTCTTTAATACTACAGACATGGTCCCTGAGGTGCTTAACGTAGAGTTTATTGAGTTCATTTAAGTGGGTCTTTTCATCATCAAAGTTGACGTACTTTTTTTTATCATTATCGTCTTTGTAAATATTAACCGTAAGAAAGTCACAACTGTCGCTTTGAAGTACGTAAAGTTTGAATATCGTTTCCATCGCTATAAAAAGTTATAAAGGGGATAAAATATTTAAGAGAAAGTTTAAAGAAAAGTTTAAGGTTGAAAAGATGAGGTATATATATACTTTTCTAAATACATCGTGATAGACTCTTGCATAAACTTTTTGTGGCTTATTGATGTAATTGATGTAATACAGCAAATAATATAGATAGAATTAATAAGCATAGTTAAAAATCAGTTAAGTCACTACACAAAAAAATGATTAATAGTTTAATACAGTTATATCATTACTCATTAGATTTTGATCCTCCGACGATTTCTCAGGTAATTTTAGGTCACATGATTGACCGTATTTGACTAATCAGTGTGGCTTTTTTAATAAGCGCAGTAATGCAACGGCGTTACAGTATTTATGTATGAACACGTGAAAATAAACAGTTAAGTTTTACCTAGACAAGTTTTCAATCTAATTCTTTATTAGAACTTCAACGATTTTGTATAGATTGTATGACTAAACATCCTCAAAAAATGTTCAAGTCACTTAATTTTACTTCACTTTCTGAAAAAGCTTTGGTTTCACTTATTAAAAGGGATGATTTACAAATGAAAGAAGTCGAAATTTGGGAACATGTTTTAAAATGGAGACTTACGTAAAATTCATCTCTTATTTCAGATCCTAATACTTGGACAGATGATGATTATGAAATAATGAAAAATACTTTACAATCTTGTTGTTTATCATCTGAAGAATTTGCGCAAAAAGTTCGTCCATACAAAAAACTCTTGTGACGCCAACATTTTGAGGAATTGTTAAATTCTAATTTTTTCTAATATTGAACCAAGCGATAATATTTACTTCCCAGATACAGGAATGTTGATGAAATTATTGATTCAAAAATTGTTAATTTAAATAGATTTCAAGATGGGTAGATAAAATAGATATTAAAAGCAAATTTGTTTATACAAGAGAACTATATTTACCATATAAATTTAAATTATTATTAAGAGGAAGTCAAGATGGATTCTCTCCTAAGATGTTTCATGAATTATGTAATAATATATTTCATACCATTACATTCATTAAAGTAATAGGAACAGAAGAAATTATTGGAGGATATAATCCTTTGATTTGAAAAGTTTGGATAATAAATATGGTGAAACAAAAGATAGTTTTATATTTTCTTTTAAAAGTAAGGATAACTTCAAAGATCCAATTTTGAGTCATGTAAATCTCAAGAATATAAATAGAGCTTTATTTTATCATACTAGAAGTGGCCCTGCATTTAATCGTGATCTTTATATAGGCGTAGAAGGACCAGCAGATAATTCAAAAGAATATGATTTTAGAATTTGTGTAAAAAATACTTAAAAAAAAGAGATAAGGAATACAAAAGATGTATTCTCAATAGAAGACTATGAAGTATTTCAAATTGTGAAAAGTTAAGCTATATAATTTGTATTTAATTTTGTTCTTAAAGTTGTTACAGAATTATATAAGATTTTTGTAAACGTACATTAAAATAAATTCTAGGCTTGGGTTATAATTACTCAAGTTCCAATTTATTCGAGAAGTTAATTTCAAATAATTTCAAGTGTCAAATGCAAAGAAGTTTATCGAACTGATTACAAAATGCAAGATTATATACTGTAGAATCAATCAAATTAAGGGCTTAAACTTATAAATAAATAATCATTGCCTATTTGGTAAAATATTTTTTTGCTTTGATTTAGAAAGTGATAAAAAAAAATAAAATAGTTGAAAAAACTTCAAAAGCAAAATTTCATCATTAGTACTAGTCGATTTCGTTAAAATGGTTTCAGAAAAATGTGATGTCAGCAAAATAACAAGTCGGCAAAATTACATTGGCAAATTTTATGTCGGTAAAACAGATATCGGTAAAATGGGTAAATACGTAAGTTCATCTACCAACTATCAATAATTTTAACTAGAATATGCGATTTGCTGGGGGACTTCGTCCCCCAAATATAACATTTATAATTAAAAAAATTCTTTGATATAAATAAATTGAATTGTTACCGAATAATAAAATTTTATTATAATTAGACCCTATAAAAAATCATGTTTTAATAAGATTTATACAATTTTTTCTTAAAAATAATGTATCTAAACTATATATAAGGATATAGGAAAATGCACAATTCCATATCACAAAAATGCACCATTTGTATGATTGACCATAATTTATACTGAATTTATATTGATTTGATCAAAGAAATTACATAATTTGAACATAAAATTTACAAGAATTGGTCAATGAATTTACTGCTTAAATTATAATTATTAATATTATTTGCATTTATATGAATTTAATTTTAAATAATAATATTTTATTAAATTATTAAATCAAATATCATGTGATTATAATTAGCCAATAATATAAATTAATTTTTATAATTTAAAATAATGACATAAGGAAAAAAAAAACTCTTTCCCCTTTTTTACGTTTTATTAATTTTCCGCAGTAAATATAGCAATTTTGCTTTGGTTATTTTTTCAGTTTTCTGTTGAAAACTAAAGGGGTAGAGGCCCAGAGAGGGTGCCTCGGGCATAAGGCGAGGTTTTTTGTTCGTATATACATTATATAAATATAGAATATGACCTCTTCTAACTTTATACACATAGACTTTAACGTCCCCAGTTCGTACCCACATTTTACAAATAGCAATACAGTCTCTACACCTATCAACCACAACAAAAGTGATAATAATATACGAAATAATACATTTCCGACTTCTACTCCTAATTACATACCCCCGTACTCGACTAACGGCCTTCGCAAAATTCCTTCCAAGACGCTTGAGAATAAAAAACCTTTGAAAATTTTTTTTTCAAAATTTCACGTGACTAACCCGAATCGGGCAGGATATAACAAGATCTATGAAATCAGACGATCAAGATGTTACTTTTTTGAGTTAAATGATCTTCCTCTTGACACCAATGAAATTAATTTAACGATTCACACAAATGATTACCATGTGAAAAGTTCTCCAATAAGTTATTATAACACAAGCACAACGCCGAATGACAAATACAGAATAAGCTGTATGCTCACGCATTTTTTTTCCTCACAAAGAGTAATTCCACGACGTATTCAACAAAAATATTTTAATTTTATTCGAGATAAATTATTGGCTCGAAAAGAAATCATCCGATCACGTGCTAATACTCACAAGTCACGAAATATTCATACTCGTACTTTTTTTAATTTTACATATAAGAAATATCATTTTTATTTAGGATTATATATTCCCTGTCATCAATTATTACCCACTCCTGGCATAGGTCCACGTCCAAGTTGTTGTGCGGTTCCTGCACCTTTAGTTATGTCAAAGTGTAGACGAGCATGCGTTATGCATCAACACACGTTCTTCAAATCAAATTTATATCACAATATTCGAACTGATAATAATAATACTAGAACAATCAAAGCTAGTGGTGTAGTAAACTCTAAACAATCACATGGAAACCTGTTACATCAACGATGGAATAATCGAGTAAAGAAGAAAATTTATTCAAATAGATTGGGCATTTCCTATGATTCCTCCTATCATGCTCGCAATGTCAGTTCAGTACTTAAACATAATAATACACATATGTATAGGAAACGTTTAGATAATTTCTCACCTAAATATAGTGATAATGACAAAACAAAAAAACGACAAGAAATCCAGTTTGCACGCCTTTGTAAACGTATCTTCAACAAACCTGAACATAATCGACGTAATACTACACGTCATCAATTAAACACAGCACGACGCTACAGATTCTTATTTCTTCCATCACAATATATTAACAAACCGATCAAACATTTGATATATACTCATGGTTTAGACCACCCAAACTACGGTTTTGTCACTCCTTACCGTATTGATCGAGAGGATAATGAAAAAAAGTTAATATCAAGTATGACGTTTACGAATAAGTACTCACCGGAAGTCTATCATACAGTTGCACCATATCGGCCATACCCAGATATGTTCATTCTGCACAAATATAGGAATATTATACCTAAAGATCCGATCTATGACAATACTGGGAATTTTATTATTCCAGGATCAAGAGAATGGTTCACTTATATGCACAATCTACATCGATCAGGTACTATACCGATACCTATTCTTACAGGTCAAGTAACTCAATATGAATATTATGCAGAACAAGCTGCAGAACAAGATCGCATCGCTAAAATCGAACGTGACAAGGAGGAATTTCGTATACACATCAAGAAAAATTTTGGAACAACATATTTACGACATATAGATCGTACTAGAGAAATTAATCGACTTTTCAACAAGTCTGAAGAATTTGATTTTAAGATGAGACATTTCACGTCTGATTTACGACAATTTGGATCTGATAGGGATCACCGTGCCTATATCAATCACGAACTCAAGGAATTTAATGAACGCTATAAAGCCAGTACTTACAGTAAAAGTTATGTACTAGAATCAGAACTTTCCGATAATACCAAAGAACTCGAACGACGCCCTAATAAACGTAATCCTACGATGGTTCCTAACAATTTCTTCACAAGTCAAGAGAATAGATACAAACGAAGGTTAAACCCACCTGCAGAAGCGGATGACTCACCAGAAGCAGGTCCTTCAGTGTTCAATAATTTACGTAGTTTACATGCCAAGTACCTTTTTTGAGTCAAAAATACCCCTTTATATAGTTTCTTTTCTTATAAATATATTGTACACATTTGTACCAGGTTATTTTAACAAACAAACAATTTAGAATAGTGTGAATCAATCCAACCATGACAGTATTTACGGTTGGCGACCTTCGGGTTGAAAGAAAAATACGGATCGTTTTTTTTAATGATTGTTTTTTTAGATAGCCGCTAGTCTCTCGGATGGTTTTTTTTATGGTTCCCATTTGATTTTTTAGCGTAGTCCTACTTTATCAAAGAGTACAGATCGAAGAGTGGGGTCCCGTAGGGGATGACGAACAAAGGTCTATACACATATATTAGCTTTAAGTATTTTCGAATTCTTTTTTTCTTCTATTTGTAATAGCCTGGGTTTTAACACTCTTTTAGTAATAAAATAAATAAATAAATAAATAAATAAAATAATGACATAAGCTGTAATAAGTGTTCTAAAGTTAATACAGCTACAAAAAAATGAAATCTTATGAAAACTAATATTCAAGTAGTTTCAACCTGCCTGAACAACTTTCAATTAATAAATAAAGTTGATTTCATTTG